TTAGCTGCGACACATGAATCAAGATGCTATGACCGAAAACATTTGATTGACAGATGAGCGCTGATATATGATTGGCCGAATTTAGGTGTTCAGGCTGATGTAGAACTAACTGGCCTGCAGAAGATAACGAAAAAAACTGATTTTAAAACAGGATTTTTTTTTTTTTTAAACATACATGTTTAAGCCAGAATTATTTTAAATATGATTTTCCTACAACTTAAAGAAAAGCAACTTATGGAATATCTCAATAAAAATTATTTAACGCATCAAATTCAAACTAGAGGAGATTCGTCCTACGGAAAGCAGCATCAGTTTAGTTTCTCTTAGGAATCAATAAATTGTTTTTAAACCGAAATAAATGGAATGTTTAATGTGGCACTGAATAGTTTGAGAAATATTTAATTTGTCCCCTTTAAGCCTCCATAGAAACGGCCTTCCCTGCTCAGCCTGCGTGCTTTGAACCCAGCCAGGTGTTCCAGGTGTTACCTTCATGTTGGCCTCAGCTGCGGGGAGGTTGGTCATCTCTCCCAGAGCAGCTCTACTGGGAGCCGCTGCGGAGCTTTTCCCCTTCTTCAGAGGCTCCTCTGCGGCCTGCAGCGGCTGCAACACACCGAGACACGTTGGACAAGGTGGACACAGAGAGACGAGGACAGGGACGGACGGGCTGGAGACTCACCGCAGCTCGAACCTCCATGGCGGCCATGAGGAGAAGAAATCAGGCGGAAAAACCCAGAAAAACAAGCAGAGAGCGACTGTAGCTGCAGCAGGAGGCTGTTCATGAAGCGACAGGCTGGCAGCGTTCAAATAGCGCTGCGGACAATCTGATTGGCTGGAGCTCAGGCAGGAAGGCCGCTGATTGGCTGGAGCTCAGACAGGAAGGCCGCTGATTGGCTGAGAATCAGAAGGCTAGGTCACATGGCAGGCATTGTTTATCAACGATTAAAGTTGATTTTTAAAAAGAAATTTTATTAGAACATTCTTTACGATACAAAAATAAGTACAGTTTCTACAATTGCTTTCAAAATTGGATCATATCAAAAATTGCACTTCCTGAATCTTATCTCTAGCGGTCACTTTTGGAATATTATTGAAAAACAAAACTGTAGAACTCTGTTGTTACCTAATTTAGTAAAATTCTTTATTCATAAACAAATAATCTTGAGACCATCTCCAATCTTTAACGTTTTTTTTAAATCTGAATTCAAATTAAATTTGAAATCTCTTAAATGTATACGAATACATGACTGAAATACTGATGGGTTTGCCCACCAATGTTCATCAATCCTAACATGAATCCCCTTGTTGCCATGGTAATAGTTATTTCATTATTATCAGTCATTCCTTCTTTCTTTTTTCATCTTTTTTTTCCTTATCAATCTTGCCTTTTATTTCCATTCTGAAATCTGGCTCTACGCCTTCCACAGATTTATACTGTTGTTATTGCCGTACCTGTTTGTACTTTCTTTAAATAAAGTTCATTAAAAAGTTAAATAAATTACAATTTCCAGTGAATAATTACCAGGAGTTTGAACAACAATAATAATAATAAATAAAAAATAACTGAATAAAAGTAAACATAGTAACAGTTAGTAGATCTACACATAGAAGCATACAGGGATTACATAAATACTTAACATTTAGAGCATAAAGATAAAGCTTTAGCAGCCTTTTTGTTATTGGAGGAGGAAAAGGTAGAAAAATAAGTTGTTTCTTTCTTTAAAAAGAGATACATGAGGGTTTACATATAATAATTTTAGGTTTGTGGATATAAATCTTGGCCAACAGTAATGAAACATTACATGAGAAGAAATGGTCAGAAATTTATTTTTTATATTTTGTGATTCCAAATAAAACGTCCAAATTTGTCATAAACATTGTCCAGAATGAAGCGACAAATAGCTTGCCATAGAAACCTGCTGTAGCCTCCTTCAGGACCAACAGGTGAGGGACAGACTCAGAGTAAATGTTGCAGAAAGTGCCAGTGGAATCAATGTCTATTTTATATTATATAAAAAATGATTGACTGAGTAACAGAGGTGAATAATCTTAAAGGAAACCTCTTTAACCTTGTTTACTAGTAAATATTTAGTTCTGAGACCAGCCTAAACTGAAATTATGTAAGGAACTGAGATGCAGCTTGCTTGGAATGAAGTAAACTGCATCTGATGCCTTGACCTTCCAGGTTTTCTTCAGCTCTCCTCTTAGACCCTGGTATCATCATATAACCTGGTATAGATATAGATATATAGATAACACTCATAACCAGACATTTAAGATGTAATTACCATAACAATGTAATACATCCATGTATATCACATTTAAATCATCAATTTAGCACTTTTGGCTCATCTGTATTATTTTGCTCCATTAACACATTAATTTTATTGTGATGGGTTTGTATAATGTGTTATATTACATGATAAATAAACTTCAATGACTTCATAATGACTCTGCAATGTGATGGGCCTATTTTTTTTATTCTAAGTTTAATTCTAAGCTATGAAACAGCCAGTCTGTGTCAAAGTGATGAATTTATCTTTATTTTAAAAGTCTTCAGTCCCTGAAAATTGTTGTTCGATGCTGTAGCGCACAGATTGTTTACATTGTGACCGGTCTAACTAGGGAGTACCAATATGGCGGCCGGTGGCTTCACTCCAACCCTGTTCTACCAACAGGCAATCAGGGAATAGATAGAGATCAGTGGGTCTGACATGGCTGTGGGTCAGAGCGGTTCATGGAGATCAGCTCTGGGCACATTTTGTTGGATTGTAGCGTATTTTGACATGTAGTGTTGAATATAGTTGTACTGAACTGTGTTCATGTTCACACAGTAAATATAATAATGTATTAATTGGGTGGTTCGTTGTGTGATTTGGCGTTTTTTAACAGATGTTGGGCTGGAAAACCTCCACTCCATCTGGCAACACTGTCAGCTACTTTCCAGGCTCTTATTTTGAAAATCAGCCTCCGTTGGTCGCATGTGTTTCCGGTGGAGGTTGTTGTTGTTTTGATCTGCAGGCAGAAGCTTTTGAACCTCCGGATTATTTTATTTCCACATCAGCCAAATCTTTCCATTGAATCAAAGCTTTTTTTGTTGCTCCTTTCAGATTATTGATCAGCTGCTAGCTTCCTCTGACGGTAAGCAGCTATTGCTAACTTAGCATCCTGTCACTGTGGCGTTCAGACTGAGGGAAACCTGCGTGTCTTCTCTAACATGTGACTCTAATGATCGATGTGGATTTTAGGTCAGAAGGAAACTGATTTCCAGCAGAGGAGCCTGCAGCTGCTGCGGTCTTTGCTCTGCATCAGATTACAGAACAGGAAGCTTCAAACCAGGTAGAAATAATAATAATCTCATCCTATCAGTCTATATTCTCTACTAGCGATGGCTCCATTAACCCTCATAGAGCTCATGCTCTATGAGCTCAATTTCAAGATAGTCATGGAAGGAGCTGCTTCTAACTGACTGCCTGCATGGCCGCGGGAAGTGGCTACAGCACCCCCTAGTGGCCAGAGGGAGATTTAAAAAAGTAAACATATTTTTACACACAATTAAGGCGGAGCATTAGAGCCAGGATAGATTATTTTTTTGTTCTAAAGCTGCAATACTAAACTGTGTTTAAAAACATTCTGTCAACATCATGCTTCTGCTAAAAAACAAACAAACAAAAAATACAGTTTATCATTAAAATGATCAAGAATTCTGGAGCACTTTAAAAGGAATAGGAACATTTCAGACGTTGCGTTTTTTATTTTTATTTTCTCGTTGAGTCATCATTTTCCTCTCAGTACCAAAGAGGATTAGATTTTATTTTAGTACAATATAGGGGGGGGGGAAAAATCAGAATTCTGACTTTCTCCCATATTTTATTCAAACAAAATTTAAAAATCAATTTACTGTTTTAATTTTTTCAGTGGCCCTAATCCTCTTCAGTTATCACTCAACTTATATGAATTAGATTAATCTCAAATTGACTCTTAGTTTATTTACTCATTTTACTATATTTATTGTAATTTAAAATCCTAGTCCAGCAGCATCCTCATTCACATTTTCCCCTAAAATCTCACCCTATAATAAATGTTTACATAATTTATTGGCTGTATCTAAGAATATCAGACATTTTCAATTTCAACATAGATATAAAATAATACAATATAACCCACAATAATTTAAATGATATCATTCCATTCAGTTTATTCTGTCCAATCAGCTGCCTGTAGTGTCTGTAAATGTCCAGCAGGTGTCAGTATTGTGCGAGACAGAATCAGCGCAGCATCAATAGTTTGGCTTCATGATGCCTCATTAACTTTCACTATTCTCTAGTCTTTGAGTCTTTGGTTGTTTTAAAACCACTGTGATTATAATTAACTCTATGCTTCATTTACAGAAAGTAATTAGCCTCTGTTAGCAGTTAGCCCCGCTAAAGCTAAGAGCAGAGAGCTGATCAGTGATCAGACTCTCCTCTCTGCTTCACTCTGCATTTTCTTCTTCATTGGATCAGATGCTGATGAGTCTGACTCCTTGTTGATGATTCATGGCTGAAACCATGACGGACCAGAACAAAAGGCGCTATCCAGGGTTTGGAAAAAGCAGCTCATGGTTGTGAGGATGATGAAGTTGGAAGTGGAAGACCCTGGAGGGCCCAATGTGGAGCCATCCCTACCAGCAGCCTCCTCCTTAGAGGAGGAGCAGACAGACGACAGCAAAGACCTCCGTAAGTGAGCCTCACTTTTCCAACAGAGTGGATTTAGGCAAAAAAAATTAAATACAACAAGAGGTTGAACATATTGATCTTAATGCAAAGTCTCTGTAATAATCTTTGAAAGAAAACAATAAGGAGGAAATGACTCCTCAGACACTGAGGGAGTAATCTAGTTCTAGTTCATCAAATCTGGTGAATATGATCATTTTCACAGTCTATTTACCAAATGTTTTATCCTTATATCTTGCTCCAATTCCCATCATGTCATCTCAGGTCACTTTCCAGTT